AGAAGAAGCAATAATAAAGGTAAAGAATGCTTTGGGTATTAAAAAACTAATAATCATTGCCTTTTTAAAGTTTTGGTTGTTTCTTTAGCAAGGCATCCTACTGCAAAGGCATCATATTACCATCTGACACAGAGATCACTATACAAAAGTCAAGGGGAGATGCCTAGCAGAGACAAACAAGTCCCAGGCCCCATGGCTCTCGGCAAGGGCAAGCCAAAGAGGGAGACGCATGGCTGCCAAGCACCATGAGAACCGCCAGGAAGGTTATTCCATTGACCAATAGTTAGTATTTGAAGAATCTTCACTGTTCACTCTTTCCAACTGATTTTAAAAACTTGGTGTTTTAAAACTGCCACTTGTATTATTATCAAACTCTGAACCCATTGTTTTACCCAACTTGCATCTGAAAAATGCAGGATGAGTTCATTCTGTGGGGAGAGGGCAGGGGAGATGCTAAGCGTCAGGCTGAGAGATGTAATGTTTATGGAGCTTAGTGAAAAACTATATCCTTGAAGAATTCGAATCTGTATAACATGAAAGTCCATCGTGTTGGACTAAATAGATAATTTACTTCAGAAATGATGTGTATAGAGGTTTCCACTGTAATTTTCTAAGTCATAGCTTTGCATGAATATTTTCTTTCTCAAATCCTGTTAAAAATAACTTCTCTTAGGACTAAAATAGTGCCCTCTTTATTCCTTAAAATTAGCTAAAGAATCTCTAGGCAGTAATGTCTTGGTAAATGATATCAGTATGTAAAAATGATTAAGTATTGACAATAAATCATTGGGAAAGATCATATTATAGAATTAAATAATTTGTATTTTAAGGATCAAAAATATGATACTTTGCAGGCACTACTTTAAGCAATTATTAAGTCTCTGAAAAATCAAGATAAGTTGGCATAATAAGAAAAACGAAGTCCAGCAAAACATGCCTTCCTTGGGGGCTTTAATGACACATTCAGTTTACTTGGAGTCATTTTGCTTCTTTCTTTTTTTTCCCATGCCTAGCGATTCATTTCATGTGCGTGTGCTGTTTGTATCCTCAGGCATGAACTATGTCAACAAGATAATCTAGTGATAAGAGAAAGTGAAATGTATAAGTTGTAGGAGACTGAACCGGTCTTTACTTATCTCAGTACATATTATTCTGAAATGTTCCCTGTGACTTAAGTTGTGAACAAATAAGAATGCCATGTGAGCAAGAAACTGAGCAAATGTGGATTGTTAGTGACTTAGATGTGAGGTGGGGAGCTGGAGAAAGGCCAGCTATGTTGGTCAGCCAATCTCCTGTTTTATCTTAGCTACCAAAATATAACCCCTGAGTAGGCAGGGTTTATCTAGAACCAGAATCAGGAATAAGCATTGAGAAGAAAACTCAGTGAGGATGGTGAGTGAGTTAAAGCTCCTTTCTGGGATTTCTAGGAAGTAGTGGGTTGGGGAATGAGGGAATATTCTGAGGGCTTTTTGAAGAACTTGGATCCCTAATAGCTGGGAGGGATAAAAAGTGACTAGGCCAGTGCTGATCACTGACAAATCTTGTTTAAAAGGAAGATTGAGATTTGGTAGGTTTGGAGTGGACCTGAGATTCCACATTTCTATAAGCTCCCAGGTGGTACAGATGCTGCTGGTCCGTGGACCACATTTGAGTAGCGATGATCTAGACCAGTGCTGTCCAGTAGAATTTTTGCAATGATGGAAATGTTCAACATCTGTACCATCTACTATAGTTACTGAGCACTTGAAATGTGGCTAGTGCACTTGAGAAACTAACTTTCTAATTAAATCAATGTAAATTTAAATAGCCACATGTGGCTAGTCCCTACAATATTGGACAGCATGGGTCTAGACATTCACAGGTCATATCTTCTCAGCCAGAGCAATCTATATCACAGTCCCCAAAGTATCTAATCCACCAGTTTATTTAGATTAGCAGGTTCCCTTTTATACAATGCAAACTGTAAAATTAGTTGTTGTTTTTTTTTTTTTAAAGATTTTATTTATTTATTTGACAGAGCGGGACACAGCGAGAGAGGGAACACAAGCAGGGGGAGAGGGAGAGGGAGAAGCCGGTCTCCTTCCGAGCAGGGAGCCCAATGTGTGGCTCGATCCCAGAATCCCAGGATCACGACCCAAGCCGAAGGCAGAGGCCCAACGACTGAGCCACCCAGGAGCCCCTCAAATTAGTTTCTTTAAATTGTTTTCTTCCTAACACTTTGCTTAGATGACCCATAATGGGCACTTAAGTAGGGAGAGGTGAAAGGAGTCCTTTTGCGGTGGGAGAGTTGCTGAAGAAAGGGTCACACTTGGCAGTGAGGATCTGAGCAACCATCACAGTACTGGGCATGTGGGAGATGGGAAGCCAGGAGGTGGGAAGAGAACTCACAAAGGGAGGTGGAATTACACTGAAGGGAAAAATGGAATAGTTTAAAATTTTACTTAGGTCTGACCCTGTCCCTTTCCTCCTTGAAATGCAAGTTCTGGGGCACCTAGCTGGCTCAGTTAGCAGAGCATGGGACTCCTGGTCTTCGGGTTGTGAATTCAAGCCCCACGTCGGGTGTGGACATTACTGAAAAATAAAATCTTAAGAGCGCCTGGGTGGCTCAGTCGTTAAGCGTCTGCCTTCGGCTCAGGTCATGATCCCAGGGTCCTGGGATCAAGCCCCGCATCGGGCTCCCTGCTCAGTGGGAAGCCTGCTTCTCCCTCTCCCACTCCCCCTGCTTGTGTTCCCTCTCTCGCTGTGTCTCTCTCTGTCAAATGAATAAGTAAAATCTTTAAAAAAAAATCTTAAAAAAGTATATATATAAAGCAAATTCTTCCTCAGGAGAGTAAGACCGTAGGGGAATGGATGTCGGCTGGGCTCTGATTCCCCTTCACCCTCCCAAATTATCCAGGTGTGGGAGAGCCTAGTGGCAGGACGGTGCAATTAAAGCTGGCAATCCGGAGCAGGTTTAAGCTTCTCACCTCAGTTTAGGAATGGATTAAGGTACAAAGGCCCCATCTGCACTCCCCTGAGCTGTGATCAGATTCCAGAGAGCAGCTCTTCCTACTTTTTATTTGTGGCCCCATCAACTCTAAGAAGCTGCTCCTCTGTGACGCTGACAGGAGCCTGAGGAGGCTCTGAGGACACCATCTTGGCAAACAGACATGAGTAAGGTCACCTGGGTCCACACCAGCCACGCACAGACAAAGCATACAGGAAAAATCGCTCTTATTGAACAACAACAAAAAAGAGAGCAAAATTGTCATTTTAAAGGATTTCCCTCATCCAAAAGCCATCTGCAAGAAAATGCTAGTTAACCAACGAGTCCATTAATGGAGGTTTTACAGCATAGATAAGAGTTATCACCTAGGAGTAAAAAGACCAACATCAAACAAAAAATTTAATCATTTACATCTTACTCAAATTCTGAACATGTAATAGCTTAGATCTTTTCTAGTGGCAAAGGGGTATTTTGGGCGAACGGAAATCAATAAAGATTTTTATATTAGCTAATTCTTCTCTAGAGTTCCTTGCCTCTTTGCCCCTACCTTTCTTTTTTTGGCCGAGCTGGTCAGGGATCTGTGATCTCATAGCTGAGTTCCAAAGAGAGGCTGGCATCTGTCTTTTAATTCTGCAGGGAAATGCCTGGAAAAGCAGGACCCCTTGCAGGGGATGGGGAGGTAGGGACTATAAAGGGACTGGAAAAGAAGCCCTTTGATTTCATAAGTGTAGATAACATTCCAATATGAAGTGAGTAGCTTTTGACTCTTTCATGCTACTTGATATAATTCCCTTTGGAAAATTTCTATTTATTCACAACTTAAACAGGTAAAATATATAGTCAGACATATTTGGTCAGGAACTCATCAGGCTCATTTATTTTTAAGATATCCAAATTTTGTGATTTTTTTCTTAGTAAATACCCAATTTATGAATAAGAATAAAGTGTCAAATATTTAAACTCCTCTGCTATAATTAAATTATATGTCTGACAATGTCCATTTTAAATGCTTTCCCACTAATATTTCTCATTAAGCATTTGGCAAATAATTGTCTAGAAAATATCAATGAGTATATTTCAAGATTATGCATATGTAAGTGTGAATGTACATGCATATGCATATGTGTGTGTACGTGTATCTATTGAGCACCTACTTAGAAGGCTACTTCATGAAAATTGTCACCACTGGGTCAATACCCTGTTTTCTTCTCTTATGTAATAGATTTTTAAATATTATAATTAATTTTTGGTACATATGTCTAAAGAAAGATTGTTTAAGGATATTTTTGTGACTTTTTGACATGTGCCTTTGGCTTTCAAAGATTTGGTAATTGTAATGTTGACTCCTAATAAGCTTACACTGAAGTATAGTGGTTTAGAAAAAGGAAAATAATATCTACCTGATATAAGAATTAAGTGAAATAATAATAATAAAAATATAAAGCCCTTAAGAAAAAATTTAAAAATTTAAATTTCTTGTTGAGAAGTTGTGTCAGTAGTCACTCCAGCTAGTGGGTAAGTCTGGGTGACCAATCAGTATACAAATCTCAGTTGAGACCTTGGGGAAACTCCTGGATGTCAACAGCCCACTATATTATAAATGCAAACAGAGTATTAAATAAATACTAAATTAAAGCAAAAAAACCCCACAAAATGTGGGAATTTTGGTTTGGGAAGCTATAATAAGTTTTGTTCGGCAACAGAACATGTAATTTTATAAAAATATCCAGATTTTCTTAATGTGCATGTCTACTGTTGATGATATAGAGTGACATCAAACTGACTTGCATAAAATGTGTATCATTTGTTGATTATGGCACAGACACATGGTCACAAATTCTTAGATACAGCATCTATCCAAAATCCCACATCAAAGAACAGAAAAGTGCCTTGAACCAACAAAAGGGTACTTCGGTAGTAATAAATTAAATTCCATTAAAACTGACATGAAAGCTAAGTTTTACGAGATTACATGTGACATGCAAGAAAAAGAAAGACCATTCAGGCAGGAATGTCGTGCATTAAGATTTGCATTCATTCATAATATTTGAGGGGTTTCAACCATTTTCTATGACCACTGAATGCTAGGAATCTGAGGTGACACCCAATCTAACATTCAAAACACAACCTAATTTATATCTTAGTCTCCTAACCAATGATTTTAAGGAAGAAGCCAATGCCTCCAATAATGAAACCTAAGAAGTTTTAGCCACATATTGTTATGCAGTCACGTAGTAAGAACATTCCATCTGACCAGGTTTAAGGAAAGTCAAACGTAAGTAAACGTTTCCACCTTTCAGACAATGCAATTGTCTCGGATTCTTCCTACCTTCTTACTAATATGAGCATATTTGAACACGTCAAGTTTGCACAATAAGAAAATGGCTTTGTGGAATGTATTATTTGGCACAAAAATATTTTCTAATACCTCAAATGAAAATTTTCACCCACAGCAAAATATCAAGCCATAGAGGTGCTTCCCTGGTGCTTGCTTTTCTAGGCAGAAAAGGACAGAAACAGACAATTGCTTCTAAGAGCTTTGATTAAGTAGCAATTACTTCCCTTCCAAGGAATAGCACCAGCATGATTACACCTCAGACTGGGGAGTGCTCCTTCCAAGCTCTTTAATTCCCTGGAGAATTCGCTTCATATGACCCACTTTCGTTATCCCCAGGTCCTAAAAAAAAAAAAAAAAGAAAGAAAGAAAAGAAAAAGAAGAAAAGGTAGGAAAAAAAAAGGAGAAGGAAAAGAAAGAAGTTTATTGACAAGAGAAAACTGGGGATTAAATATTTCACTAGCAAATAGTATAATTAGCATTCAGTTCGCTTAGTTTAGTTTCTATTCAATGACTTAGGAAGTATAAGCTACGAAAATCAGTTTATAAAGCGAAACTAACCTGCTACTGAGACATTACCAACCAGTAAAAAAAAAAAAAAAAAAAATCACATCCTATACAAACTCTTAAATGTAACATTCTCAGAAATTATACACAATGGCGGTTCTTCAAGAGTCAAAATCTCCTTTTTACTTCTGCTTCTTCTTTTTTAAAACACAGGTCCTTTTGGGATCTCCAAGAAAAGTGACAAGGAGACATCAGGGCAGCCGCAAGTAGTCTGAAGGCACTTCCTTCCTAAAATAGTAAACTTAAAAGCAAAGCCTAATCCTAATGACAGAGATCAGTGGCCACCAGCTAAATTTGGAATGTCAATGCATTTCTGGTTACATTTAGAGTTTTCGATTTGAGCGGACTGTTTAAATATTCGTTCTACTTTGTAAGGCAGAAGTATAAAAAATTATTTCAACCTAGCTATCTGTGGGTTGATGCTTTTCCTCAGAACCCTCCTTGTTTCTTACGGGACCATCTTCCTTTAAAGGGCCAAGAATTCAATATTTAGCTTTCAGCATGGAGGAGGATTTCACACTGTAGAGTGCACATCAGGCACTCGGCAAATAAATCCTTGTTGCAGGAATGAAGGAGATGCATACAAGAAAGCCATGACATTCACTACCTGAAAAACTAAAAGAAAGGGTGAAGGCCTCTGAACCCTATAGTTTCTCTAAGTGTAATGGGCACAATCAATTGGCTAATACGTGAAGTCAAACCAATTCTGTATAAAAAAGAGAGGGCTTGAAATATCTGAAAATTAGCAAAAAGATGGCTTCCAAAGCAACCTTGAAAACAGGATTATAAGGTACCATAAAACTATGTGTCTGAGATGATAAAGATTCCAAATATCCGTTCTATTTCATAAGCTAAGAGCATTATTTATTTTTAAGCTTTAAGTGAAATAGATCAGACAATTGTAAGCACACTCTCACACACGTGCTCTCTCTTCCATATACTTTACGGGCTCTTTGAATTCTATAGCAGCGATGATACTGACAATTCTTTTTTTCTACTGACAATTTTGAATCTTTCTGGAAAATATTCTTTCTACAGCAAGTGCTCTCGTCAAGCTTGAAATAATTTCTGGCTCACATTTTTACAATATGCAACAGACCCTGAAAAATATTTGCTCATAGGACACCAGGCTATTCATAACCAGTTTTAAGGCAACTATATATTTCCTGAGTGTATGCTGACATAGCAAACTTAAAAGCAAGGCCAAATCCTGAAGAAAGATAGCCCGCGCCTGCTACCGAACTCTGAAATATAAATGCATTTACAGTTGCATTTAGATTCTTTGATTTAAGTGGGATATTTTAATATTCTTTCTGCTTTGTGATAACATAATTATCTGATTAAGAAACACAGTTAATATTAAATATTTTATTTCAGGCCGTATGCACGTTATATTTTCAAGAATAAAAACTTCTTCAGGAGAAGCAGACTCTACTCAGAATTACCATTTTGGTGTAATGAGATGAATGTTTTCCACAAAATTACACTAACTTCTAGCTATATTTTCTCTATCTTGAGTTCAATACCTTCATGTCTTCTAGGAGTTAGGCTGTGATAAAGTTATGCCATGACATCTGTTATATCTTTCTTAATTTATTTTTATCATATTCTTTATTATGGGCCTTTTCTTTCTTTGGATGACCAGGTCTAATTTTGCAGAGATATGCTTTGTAGATACTCAGTTATCTTACTAGCCATGCATATGCAACTTTCCAAATGAAAAAAAAAAACAAAAAACAAACAACCAACCACACAAACAAAACCATTGCGTCTTTGCCATTGTCTTTGGTGCCCCTCACATTTGCCTATGGTCTTCCTGGAAGGAGAATAATGCAATCAGTTTATTTATTTCCTAAAGCACCTCAGAAATATTTTTCCTTTCTCACCTTAACACTGTCACATTGCTATCTCGAGTTGTCTTGCTGATAAGAAAGTAACACCTGAGCCAAGATCTGAGCAGGAGTAAGCCAGGTGCCGGGTAGTGGGAGATATATACCGTAGGAAGGTGCACCTCTAAAGGTGAGGATCAGTCTCATATTTTTAAGCAAATGCACTATGGCCAGGGTGGATGGGGTACAGCCCAGCGAGGGGCCAGTGATTCCACAGCAGGTTCCATAAATGGGCAGAATCTTGTAGACCTCCCCAAAATGTGAGTCTTTATTCCAGTAAAGTGGGAAGTAACTGAAAGGTGATCTATCTGATGTTAAGAGATCACTCTGGTTGCCGTGTGGGTAATGGGCTAGAGAGAGCAAGGGTAGCAGCGGAAAGGCCAGTTAGGAACTCTGGTCTCACACGGGCGAGCGGTGCCCTAGCACCCAGTAGGAGTGTGGAAAGCAGAAAGAGAAATGGATGGAGTTTCGAAACCTGGCTCGGTGATGGGCTTAATGAGTTGGGGGCCAGGATAAGGGAGAGGAAGGCGCTGAGTATGACCGTGGGCTTCTCTGGCTTGAGTGCCTGGAAGGAGAGAGGGTTGACTTTACGAAGGTATCCCCAGAACAGAGGTTTGGGTGTTGACATGTTAAGACTGACTCCCCCTGTGTGACAGGCAACTATCAAGTAGAGTTGGTGATAAAATCCTAAAGCTCCCAAATGAGGTCAGGGCTGGAGGTACAAACCTGTGAACCACGGACATCTTTACGGACCGTATTTGCAGCAATGGGAGTGGACAAGGTTCCCCAGGGAATAGGTGATCCTTTAGCAACACTTAAAGACTTTATTCTGAAGAGTCTGCTCCCTCTTATAGCTATAACCAGAGATCCAGGGGAGCTCTTTTACTACCTTCACGGCTTTGTTCTATAGCAGGCTCTTTCCGAAAAATTATCTTCCTTTTTTTCATTCCCCTATGCCCCATTTTAGAACGAAAAAAGTTAAAAAGGACGATGTCAATGCAAATTTCTGAAAGAAAAGTTTTAAGGGAAAGGATGTAATCTGCATTAAAAATAAAAACAAAGGCGAACAAAAAGTCCCATGATAAAGCTAAAGAGAAAGTTTACGAAAATAATTCTTAACCATTTCCTTTTTACTCATACTCTTTCTTCCAGCCAAGTCCTATCACTCTAACTCTCCTGTGTGTATGAGCTTTGTTTTTCCATTCGGCAGATATTTGCTTTACTCATTGTGTATGTGTGTGTGTGTATTTGTATGTTTATGGTTGCATGTACATATATAACATATACATATATAATTATATACACACACACACGTTCAGTCTTTTCTTGAATTTATGCTTATTCATGGCAAGTGAAATGTAAGCTCCTAGAGAGGCTGGCATAATATATCTATCAGTAGCTATTCAATAAATATTGCTGCCTGCCAAGGATGTAAGAAGCTACATAAATATGGTGGATATAATGATCCCTTACATTTATTTTTTCGTGCACTCATTCCAAGTTTTGAAGTCAACCTTGACTCTAGGAACTCTAGCCCTGTATATTTTGCTATTTTCCAGATTTAGGACTCTCAACTGTGGTAATTAATTAATCTATTGTTTTATTATCCTGGTTAAAAATGTTTAGGTAGATGTGGTGTCCACTTTTAATGTGCCAAAACTGTATGACTCTGCTTTATAAAATCCTATATACTACTCACTAATTGTCCAAAGATCTCTGCTAACACATTTGTAGATAAAGGCACAACAGTTCATGAATTTGTTAGGAATTCACTGTATCATAATTCTGTGCAATTCAGAACTTGGTCTACAGGAAAGAGATCACTCCAACATATGTTAAAGGCTTTGTCACTTGCTTATTACTCAATCTTGGAATTTTAAAATGGTGGCGTTTGGTAAGAAAATCCAACATGACAAAATCGTACTTGTAACCTTGGGATAGAATAGTCTACTTTGGCCATGTTGAGTCTCCACCCCCCAAAATAAAAGGGAATTGCTTCAGACCATGAATTAATGATTTTCTTTCTCTGAAATAAATGCCAAATAGGCTTTAAGCTGCATTCTAGCAAAAGCGAAGTATAATTTTTACTTCATTTACTAAAGAAAATAATAAATTTTTTTGAGAATAATACAATCATAACAGTAAGTCACAGAGAGGTCTAGTTGTTCACGTGAGCTCGGAAAGGGCAGTCAGAAACACAACAAAATCATAGGACCCTCAGTTGCCACTGCTGTAAGTTTTTAATCTAGTTCCACATATTAGGAAAACTTTGTTACTGGTATTTTGAATCAATTTTTAGTTGTTAACCTTTTATTAGATTTTTTTAGTCATTTTCAGCAACAGTGATCCCCTTTCATGCTGATCCAATCAAATGAGCCGATGGAAACATGAGCTATTTGGAAGTATTAGCACAGGGACAGCCATACCGATGGATGCAGAGAAAAAAAATTACTAACTTCATGCTAAGCTTTAGCCATAGTAATCAGAGAATGATACTTCATAGGACAATATTGCTGACATTCTTGTTTAAAAAGCATACAAGGAACTCCGACCACAGGACAATGCATATTAGATCACTGCATGTTTGCAGGACGGAAGCCAAGCTATAAGCATGTAACAAAAGAGGTGCAGGAGAAAGGATTCTGTTTTGCTGGAAAATTTTAAAAAGCAGAAGAGTAGCACAAAGGAAATACCTTAAGATCTCGCCTTTCCAGATGCAAAAGTTCAGCCCCTCTGATGTCATGACGGATGAAGATTTCTTTGTACTCTCCCAAATTGAGCAGATCCAGCCAAGCAGCAACTTCCTCTGTGCCCCATTTTTGAACTACCAAAGTTAAGAGCAAAACCCCCTTAATTTCTACATGCTCAATGCATTACAAAGCAAAGGTTGGCCAAAGAAGATGCAAAACAGAGTACAGCGGCAGTGCTAGCAAAGGGAAAGGTTAAAGGTGTTGTTTCGACAAAACTCCAGTTTCACTTTTTCCCCCATGCAGGTTACAGACTCTCAATCAACACAGAGATCTGACTACGCAGGGACGTTCACTGCTGTGCACCCGTACCTTCAGCTTTAGCTCCATTTCCTCTCCAGGCCGCCCAAACTACACAATCTAAATAGTCCAAGATCTAAATAAGCTCTGATGATTTCCTTAAGACCATATATGAAACTAGTTCTAACTGAATTAGCTACAAGTGCTGATGAAAATTGAAAATCTGACATGGGCTTCTGAATATTACACAGACGTCGGCTCCAGGTCTGGCTGAATTCAAGGGATGCCTTTATTGATTCTGTTACGATCAGTAATTATAATTATTGACAATGATAGTACTAAAAGTGTTGTTTGCTCACCTTCATGTCTTCTGGAAACTGTCAGGACTGCTAAGATGAGTTGGACTGTTACTTTTCAATATGTATCACCATTGTTTTATACATTTTATTCGCCATTGATTAGCTTAATTCAAATTTATTTATTTGCTATATTTGGTTTTAAAATGCCCTTCAGTGGCTGCTCTACAATTGTCAAAAATCAGGTCATACATCACTTTTTAAAAGGAGACAGCTCACTTGGAAGGATTATAAAATGATTTGATCACACCTATTGCCATCTACACAGCACTTGAAGGTGCCTCAGCACCACTGCAGCATTAACCAACTGAGCCACCCAGGCGCCCAGCCATTGCAGCATTAAAATTAATTCCTAGGGGAAGGGGGAAAGGGAACCAGACCAACAACACCACAGACAGTTTAATCTTCACTTGAGAATGCAAGTGTCACTGGGGGCTGTCCCGACTGAGGGGCTGAAATGGTGTAGGAAGTCCTTGAAACAGGAGAAAGACAGTGCGTAACTTTAGGTGGAAAAATCAATTATTTAGCAAGTTAAAGGAGTAAATGGAAGTTTCAACATGCCATTCATCAAAATGAGCTAGATTTTGAACTTTGAAGGAGAAAAACAAGTTACACACCACCGATGCCTTGAATGGTTGTTACGCAGGACACGGGACCATCCTAAACAGACGCACTGACGTCCCCTGAACAGAGCAGAAGCACATCAGCGACCACCTTGTTTTCTTCTGTGCTTTGTTGCTAAAGACTCCTACTGGTTGGGGGACTTACTTTAGGTGTGATATGATTTGCTTTATTGTGGTAAAATGAACATAAAACAAAATTCACCATTTTAACCATTCTATGGTGTTTAGTAAATAATTCCAGAACATTTTACCGCCTAGATGACATCGCTTTAATGAGTCATCTTTTCCACAGGGTTTTACTTTCCCTTCCAGTGCAGATCACCTACCAGGCTGTGAACTTGTCTTCTGCTTCTGAACCTTTTCCTTTTTAAATTTTGGCACGATACGAAAGACTGTGCTTCTGCTGTTTCTCTTGGTGCAATCCATGGGGGGCTCCTGTTTGAGTGGGGCAAGAAAAGGAATTTGCTCAGGACGTTAGGAGAAGAAAAACTCACCCCGATCTTAAAGCCAACACAGGAACAGGTTATAAGCACAACACACCGTTGAAGCCGTGGCTTGTTAAAAATTAAAGTGCATGAATCTATGTACTCCTTGAAAATGTACTGATTCCCGTGAGGTACCTTTGTTCACAGAAAAGCCTTTGCTCGCTTGTTCAAGAGCAGCACATTGGAAAGTGGTATTCAAAATGCATTCTCCCTTGAATATCTCTTGTTCAAATTTGATTGTCATAACGTCTGCATTTATAAAGAAACAGGCCACATTTCACATACCGCATCTTCGTTTGGGTGTAAGATATAATAAAGCCAAGGGATCTCCGTTAACTTCTGCAGCTCCACCTCCACAGAATGTAAGGCATTAGATACACGTTCCTCGTGCGGGGATTCTAATTGCTGCTCACCAGCAAATTTTAAAACACAAAATAAAACAAGGCTCAGTGACCAATCTCAAACAGGAGAAATTCATTTTATTTTGACAATGAACATCATCTCTTATTAGGCAAGGCTAGGTTACTGTTGTTGGTAAGATACAGGAATATAGGAAAAAAAGAAAAGATTATTTTCTATTGAGCTTATTTAAAAAAAAAAGAAACACCTGGAGAGATTTATCCGTACTTCCCAAAGATAATATAAGGAGCTAGTGTGACTTTAATAATGTCACAGAAAAAAAGTATCACTTTTGGTGGTTTTCTCTCTCTCTTTCTTTTCTCTGTCTTTCTTTCTTTCTCTCTCACTTTTTTTTTTTGTAAATTCTTTCCTCTCTCCCTCCCTTCCAATCCATGCATCCATCCACCCAGTCTGCCTGCTTGCTAGTAAGTAATCTCACTATTCTACTTCTGTGGCAAAAATTCTTCCGATTTCCATGGGCCGCTATGTAAGCAAATAATACTATTCTAAAAATTGGTCAAAAACATGTCACATCATAAGAACTGCTTGGCACAGAAATCTCCTAGAGAATTAAAATAATAAGTTTAAGGGGGAAAAAAACCCCACGAATCTCAGAAAAATTTGTGACGAAAAGCTGTTGTAAAAATCAGGGCAAAAGCAAAACACTGAATGGTTTGAAATCTGGAAGAGGGTTTGGAAACTTTAAGGAGAATTTAACCGGTCACTTATTATCCACTCATTTGAGGCAGCTATTAAAAAGCACTTAGAAATTCAATAGTAAAGGTGAAATAAACACTGTTACATGTAGAACAGGAAGGGAGGCCACTGCCTTCTGGTCCTGGCTTTGTTACTAACTATGCAACCAAGGGAAGGCTGACTGATGGTAGGAGTCTTAGTTTCTTCCTTAATAAATAGTAGAAAGTGACCAGATTATTTCTAAGGTCTATTCCAGAGAAATCAATCCTTTCATAAATTACTTTAAGATTGTAGAGGATCTATATACAGGTTTGCAGAATTTTGAACTGAAAGTTCAGCGAAATTGTTCCTGTTATTTATTATGGTGTTTTTTTTCTCCTTGGTTATTCAAGGTATTTACCATTTCTAGTAGTTAATAAAAATATGGAGATTCTCCACCTTGTCATGTAAAACTTACTACTTTCCTTTGAGTCTAAGAATATACGTCTTATAAAATTGATAAAATGGTATTGCATATTCATTCTAGAAGCAAAATAAAGTGTAAGCCTTAGTTGATCTCGAATATGACTGACTGTATTTTGACATCAATATGGTTAAAGGTTTTGAAAAAATTCACTGGTATACATTTTAAACCATACAACCATATTAGACAATGACAGAAGTAGATCGAAATGATTAAGAGTCTGTGTTGGTTGTTCTATATGAACATAATATAATTGATAAATACTAACCAACTAACACTCAATGGGTGCTTTCAGAGTAGAGAGCTAAAATACAGAACAAGTTATGCTTCTAGTTGTTGTCAGTCAGGAGTTATCTTTTGTATTTCAAATAAGACAAAAAATACATGTCCTTCACATAAAAATTGGGACCAAAGCCACAGCTCACTGGATTTCACTGGACTAATTTTAGAAGAGCAACAAGAAGACTCTAGTTAATAACAAAAGTGCCAAGAATTGGCAAAATGTTCCATTGGTTTTATCAAAAAAGGTAATCAATGTGTCTTCCTAAAAGTTTTTCTTCAGGGCCATAGCGTAGGCAGCCACATCCTACCCCAAGGAAGTTATACTTCAGCTTCCTCTGGAGATGGGTAAGAGCCACGGATGTCATTCATCCTTGAAGCTTCTCTTCTCAGAGTAAAAGATGCTCCACGGATGGTACCCTTCTGGACCCCAATCAAACAGAAACTCCAAGCACAGTCACTTTGTGAGCTAGACTGTGACACACCTCCCATTTTCCCACTATGCCAGATACTATGACTTTTACTACCACTTTATTTTCCAAAGCAAGAGATAAAATTAGAGTCAAGAGGAATGTTGTAAGATCATCACGGATCAGTGACAAGGAAGAAAAAATAGCTAATGCATCATAATGCATCAGGCTTTCTACACAGTTATAGCAGTGTGTGTGAATAACCCACAATCGAACACTAGATGGCGAGAAGACCCAATATTCTAGAATGTTTGAAACTGATGAGAGAATAAAAGGCTGACAAGGCAGATTCCAGGCAAACCAAACAGGACATCTGTGGACTTCTAGCACTTGAGGTCCACTGACTGTGGTCAAATTCAGGCCTGCCCGAAACTTCATTTCCAGCACCAACCTGAGTTAATCTAGAGATAGGGCTAGCTCTTGAATTTAGTTCTTGAAACATCGAGTCTAGAAAGTGCTACCCTTTAAGAGAATCTAAAAACCATATCAATCATATTTCAAATATTAATTTCAGGAACAAAACCGATGATTTCCTCTACCTCTCTGCAATTAGGAAGTAATGAGCTCCTGAGGAATGCCTGCTATACTTCATAAGGCTCAAGTCTCTCAAAGCTGACTGAGGAGAACAGTACTGCATAAAAACCTGATGGCATCTATGAGGGGAAACCTCTACTCCTGTTAGCCCGCACCATAACTCCCCGGTGTAGCCATGCATTTTCTCGAAGGCAAAAGCCAGGTAAAAGGGAAGCCCTAAGGATGGAGGCCAGGAGGCTGCTTCTGCATTAGAATCTGATGAATGAATGCATGCTCCCTAATAAAGCTGAGGCCCACACATGGATCATCATTCTTGTGTTACCAGGCATCTCTTCCTTACCAAAGGAACCCTGCCCACTAGTAAAGATTCTGTTTCATTATATAGTGCCTTCACATTGATGGCTATTTCAGTGGCAGTGTCTCTCGTAAGACTCTAGAAAAAAAAAACAACACATCAAAGACAAGGAGTTCTGTATTAAGTTGGGATTCAATCATCAGCAAATACTTTACATTTTATTCTTCCCATAAATTCACATCACACATATTTTTACAACTCCACCCCAATTCCTATTATAATTGAACAATTTCACACCCATGCCCTGACTATAGTCACACACTTAGGACATCTCCTGCATACAAACATGTGGATGCTTGCAACAACATATACGTGTTCCCATAAAACAGTTCAGTCAAAGAAAATTATGCCTTATCAGATAATGGGGCATTATCATATCATAATCAGTTCTATCCACTGACTTTCACTCCAGAAGTTCCAACCAGGCTGTTTTTTAGACTTTCACCTTGAGGAAGCAGCACTTATCTATCAATTTAGGTAACTTCCACTGAATAATTAAAAGAATGAAATAATGCTATCAGTTTTCTCTACGCTACAGCCTTGTACTATGTATCACATTTCAAGAGACCTGTATCCTTTCCCTTCTTTTTTTAACACCTACATTAAAAAAATTATAGATGTTACAAAATTGCAGCATCTACATTAAAAAGTTTACCCACTTTACCAGTTTTGTAGAACAAAATGAAGTGAGAATAACTTCTGTACACAGCTTTGACATTGAACATTTCTAATAAAATGCATGGCATGTAGTTTGCCCTACATCAAGGTGCAGGAGAGAAGGTGAAAGAAAGAACAAGAAGGGATGGTGGTAGCTCAAAGGAGGAGGGCAAGGAAGATGGCAAGGCGACAAGTGATTGAAAGAGAAATGGGGAAAAAATGAAGAGATTTTAAAGGAATGGAATGGAATGGAAAAAGGGCAGGAAAAGAAAAATGAAAATGTGACCACTAATTCATCATAAGCTTCTGGCAGGCACTCCTACAGACTGTCTAATGCTTTTTCAAAGGGCATGGCACATGTTATAGCATTGAAATATATGTGTAATACATAACAGTCTGTGGAATGAGAATTTACCATTAGCTCCTCACCTCTGGGAAGCGTGGGTTGGCTTTATTCAGTGCGTGGGAGCATGCATTCACAGCATGGGCCAGTTCTTGCTCCAAGAGACAATGGATCGTGGCTGCATCACAGATCCTGAAAGCAAAAATGAGGCAGGTGAACAAAAAAAATTTGAGCATCACTGATTTTTCTGAAGTGTAGAAATGGTAGACTCAGACAAGTCAAAAAAAAAAAGATAGGGGATATTTTTAAATGAGTTCAACTCAATTGTGAATAACAAAGGGTAGATTTACAAAATTCAAACCCCACTGTAACAAAGAATGCGAAACCAAAAATCTTTATAGGAAAAGTTAGGCTTAGAATCATGGATAAACACAGTGAGGTACTATTTGGAAGAACAAAATATAGTAACACTTCATTTTAAAGTATCATTGGCAAGTGAGATGGGGCCCAAATGTACAGAGCAGAAACTTAATCTTTAATTCATTGAAACTTCAATCAGGAACAAATAGAGTAGGAGAAGAACATTGCCATATTTAGCATCTATACACTAAGTGCTTTACATACATTATCTAATTTAATATTCACAACTTAAAAGGTAACGGTGATTAATTTTCTCCACTTTATAGACAAAGACCGTGAGGGCTGGAGAGATTCGGTAAGTATACAAAACTAATAAATAATAGAGCCAGGATTTGAATCCGTGTCTATCAGCTCCAAAGTCTGTTGTGCCACAGTCCTCTGGAATCTACACATTTAAGAATATCCTGAACAAACAGGATCCTGGAGGGCACTAAAGGCCAAAGAAGAAAAAAGAGGAAAAGTTCCACCAATTGCTAGAAGATGATGTAAAGTTTGCGGATGAGCAAGAAGGCAAAACTATGCAAATCCTTTTTTGCTTCTGACATCTACAAGGAGAATGATCTTCACACTAGAAAGGGTAAAACAAGAAAAGAGACTAGGCCTGTATTGTTGAATGAAGAGTAAAGGAAGAGAGCTTAAGTCTTAAAGATCATACAATTGATATCCAAGCCACAAAGGAATTTGCAAATGTCATCTCAATATTTCTACCAATAACCTTGAGAAATCATGAAGAATGGATTATTTATCAGAAGAACAGAGGTGGGTAAATGTTATTCTAATTTTCAAAAAGAGGAAAAGAAATCAATTTCAGATCAATATTTCCAATTGCCTACTAAAATTTCCTCCCAGATATTTTTTTTTTTTAAGATGTATTTATTTATTTGAGAGAAAGAGAGAGCATGTGAGCATGAGGGGGGGTTGCAGAGGCGGACTCCTGGCTGAGTGCAGAGCCTGATATGGGGTTCTATCTCATGACCCTGAAATCATGATGTGAACCGAAACCAAGAGTCGGATGCTTAACTGACTGAGCCACCCAGGTACCCCTCCTCCTAGATATTTCTAATGTAGTTTAAATTCTGGAAGTCCAACACGGACCCTGTCATTTTCCCTCTCAATCCTACTTTCCCTCCTGAATCCTATGGTTCTATCAAAGGTTCCACAACCCATCCAGCCATTCACTAGAACCTGAGGGTCATCCTGTCTCCTAATTCAGGCCATTCAGCAATTTTAGATAATAATCAATCTTAAGTCTCTCTTCTTCTCTCCATCTCTCCTACCTCAATCGGTTGTTCCCTATCAGGACCAGTCCAAGAATGTTCACCCTAACCTTGCTTTGCTGTCTTGCAAACAATGCTACACATTGCTTCCAGAAACGTCCTGGTAGGACCTGGCCCCTCTTCCCTTCTCCATCCACATTTCCTACTCTCTCACATATACCATGCCATCCCCAGTTCCCTGAGATTTCCTAAAAGTACTATTCACTCACACTCCTCTGGGCCTCTGCCCAGGCTTCTTCCCATGTTTAGAATGTTCCTTCCCTTACTCTGCCATCAAGACTTAGCTGAGAGATCACCTTTTCCAGGCAGCCCTCCCTTACTTTCTTGGCCTCCTGCGTGTATCCCCAGCACCCCACTGAGCCCTGTGATAGCACTCTGGCCACACTTTTCCCTTCTGCTATCCTGCCAGTAAATTAAGGAAAGGGACTACAACCCAGCCATTTTGGCATCCCCACTGCTTAATATGGTGGTTGGCATGCAGAAAAGACTCAGAATTATTTGTTGACTACTGAATGAATAAGTTCTAAAAATAGATGAGTGAGCCTGATTTTCATCTTTTGCAAAATTTAAAAAAACACATATGGGGAACCAAATTAGGTTGACCAAAAGCAAGTCTGGCCAGCCTTCACTTCCCTTTTTTTGGTAAGGTTATTTGGTTAGTTGACAGGAAGTTCATTTAGGAAGTATATTTGATTTCAAGGGAGATAATACAGAAAGTATATTTTGGTTTCAAGAAAATGCTGCAGTTCTATTTTTAATTCTCTGAAAAACCTCCATACTATTTTCCATAATTTGTTAATTAGCTTGATTATGGTCATTGTTTTACAACGTGTACATATATCAAATTATCATGTGTACACCTTGTACATATATATAAGTGATTTTATTTGTCAATTATTCCTCAATAAAGCTGGAAAAGAAGCAAAAAAAAAAAAAAACAAAAACAGAAGTTGTTTATAGTACCCTAAAATGAATCTCTCTGTGGATAAGTTCTTGCACTTAGCTAACTACTCATTTTCTCTTACCTTGCTTCTAAGCTTCTCTGTATCTTGCAGTTATCATACGTTATTCTAATTCTGAATGTTGGCCTCCAGCTGTAGGGAGTTCATATCTTTTCTCTTACATCTCTAACATCTAGTACATTCTAGGTTTCCAAAAATATTTAAAGAGCATTGTTTTCCTTCTTTTCTTTTTCCAACATTTTTATCACTGACCACATGAAGGTGTGGTAGGAATAGCTACCATTCACAGAACACTAAATATGCCAGACGTGATGTGCTAATAAGTTTCTTACCTGGTGGGTCTCATTTAGCCTTCACAATGACCTACAGAGTTAGCTCTTATTATCTCCATTTGGTAGAGAAGATTTAGGTGAAGAGGGGATAAGAAACTTGTCCATGGTTGTCCTCCCTTCCCCCAACAAAGTTTACTCCTGGTCATAGTGATTTCTATCTGTTTCACACTCCCAGAACTTGTGTTTTCATCTCTTCCCTTTCTGTCTACTAAAATGATTTCCTATATGGTTTCCCAATCTCTGGATATGTCTTTGGAAACTGATTCTCAGACTTTTCCCACCCAAATTTCCTTGGGAGCAGGGTTAATATTTATATTTCCTTCTACATGCCAGAAGAACTTAATTAAAAATTATAAGGTAACATATACACAAGTAGTAGAGTGTAAAGACCGTGTAGAACTGGGGAAATAAGCAATAACAGAAAGAGCACCCTGTGGTAGGGTGTTAGGCAAGCTCTCCACTGTGTTTCAGGAAGTCCAAGGTCTGTTCTGCAGAGAACACAGGTGTGTGTGTGTGTGTGTGTGTGTGTGTGTGTGTGTGTGTGTTTTGGAAAGGGTTTAACTGAGGCATAAATGAGGCAACAAATGAGGAAGGAAAGTAAATGCACCTCTTTTAGATACCCCCAAACAACTGACATTATGTATCAAAACTAAAAAACAAAATTGGCCAAGACCAGAGTTCTCCTCCCCTAAAGCAAGCAGGGCCACCATACCTAGTAATGAGCTCCTCTGCAGCCTGGGAGCATAACTGCATTTGGGACACCTCTTCTGTTGCCAAGTCAACAGCATGCTGGATGTACAAATGGGTTCGAAGAACTGGTTTACCAGAATCACACTTCTGTTTATCTTCCCAAGATTTCAGAGTGCTTTCAAAAGCCTATTTAACATCAATATTGCAAGGAATTGTTAGTTTGGAACTCTGAGACCCACATAAAAGAGTATTTAAATGTTACATGAATGACTTTGAAACAATTGCTTTTTTCCTAATCTGAAGCTTCATTAAAGAAATCATAAGATACAAAAAAGTTATTTTAAAGTTTTCCAGTGTTATCATAACAAATAAGTAATGTAATCAGTGATGAGGAGTGAATCACTGAAAAGTTTTAAAAAAGACAGCTTCAATTTAGGTTTCAATCTGTACTTTAAATGCATCATAGACAAGATGGGTATTGGCAGTCTTGTTTGTTGTAAGTGTGACCTTAATTAAAACATATTCTGGAAAAGGCAAAACTATGGAGACGGGTTGAGGTAAGAGAGGGAGTGATGGACAGATGGAGCACAAGGAACTTTTAGGGTAGTGAAACTATCCTGTATGATGCTATAATGGTGGATATAAGTGATTAGATATTTCTAAAAAAACATAAAATGTACAACATGAAGAGTAAACTATGACCTTTAATTAATAATTATCAATATTGGCTCATCAACTATAATAAATGTACCACACTAATACAAGATGTTAATAATAAGGGACTGTATGTCACTGAGGTATGGAGGTATGTGGAAATAGAATTAGAATTCTCTGTATTTTCTACTCAATTTCTCTGTAAACCTAAAAAAATAATAAAAATATAGTCTATTAAGTTTTTTTTCTTTTTAGAGAGAGAGTGCACACATGAGCGCACTATGAGCCAGGGTGGGGGAAGGGGGAGAGGTAGAGAAAGAGAGAGAATCCCAAGCAGGCTCCATGCTCCGTGTGGAGCCCTATGCAGGGCTCGGATCTCACAACCTTGAGATCATGACCTGAGCAGAAATCAAAGAGTTGGCACTTAACCGACTGAGCCGCCCAGGTGCCCGTAGTCTATCAACTTTTTAAAAAACTAAATACGTGTTCATATTTAAAACCACAATGACCTAAATGTCAGATTTAAGAGACAATTTAAATATTTTTCCTTGGTTTCTATTTTTCATAACAAATGAATTTTTTTTTAAAGTAGGCTCCACCCCCAGCAGGGCTTGAACTCACCACTCTGAGATAAAGACCTGAGCTGAGATCAAGAGTTAGACACTTAACCGACCGAGCCACCCAGGTGCCCCCACAACAGTTTAATGTTTTTAAAAGGCTTGATAAAAATCTAGAAGAATTTTTTTTTTTTACATACCCTGTCCCTTGTTAGCATCTGAGCTCTGTTTTTGTGCACAATTTTGATAATTCCTGGAGGCTGAACCCATGCTTCACCATCCACCTGCACTGGGACTCCCTCATCGCCAAATATAGTGATTTTTACCGTACGGCACTGAAATAAAACAAGTCATTTTAGAGAACAAATCGTCCCGAGAAACTGACAATCTGCGTTCAAGCCTGACTTTTAGTGCATTCGGTGGAATGGAATGCATCTTTTTCCACTTGTCATGACACAGTAACAACTGACATGACAAGAAAGTTAACATTTTTTTTTAAAGATTTTATTTATTTATTTGACAGAGAGATAGAGAGAGAGCACAAGTAGGCAGAGCGGCAGGCAGAGGGAGAGGGAGAAGCAGGCTCCCCGCTAAACAGGGAGCCTGATGCAGGGCTCGATCCCAGGACTCTGGGATCATGACCCGAGCCGAAGGCAGTCGCTTAACTGACTGAGCCACCCAGGCGCCCCGAAAGTTAACATTTTTAGATGAATAGACAGCATAGGAGTCCTTTGGAATAGCTTCCCCAGTGGCCCAAGTCGTGAGGTCAGGTTTGATCAGAGAAAACAAACCTGGGCTATTCGATGATGCTGCAGTTTAATGACCCTTGAAACTGCCATTTGCATGCTATCAAATATTGCAACAACTTCCAGGATCTTGTCATCAAATGATGGTGCAGCAAATATCTGAAAGGAAAAACTACATTACATTTCCCCTGATGAGGTTAAGGTTTAGATCAAGTGGCACATCAGCAATGTAAACTTTGCAATATACATATTAAAAAAAACTTATGAAAATAGGAAACAGAAAAGTAAGTAAACGTTATTAGGAAATGATAACCCAAGGACAAAAAGAAAAACCCACTGAAGATGATTTAACGTAAACAAACTTAATAAAAAAGGTTTAAAACCCACATGGATAAAATGCTAATGTCTCTCATAAAGCACTCTTTGAACCAGTGAATTACTATATTGCTAAATAATCCATCTTGGTATAAAATGTGTTAAATTCTGTTCACACATAACTTTGATGTCTTGATAAAATGGTGCATGTGATTTTAGGAAACCTAAAATACCCAGTTCCCACATCTTTCAATGTGTTACAAGCAATATGTATGTATAATGTGCTTTACATCTTAATACAACAACTTTTTAGGGCATTTGAGATGGCAATAGACACCTCAGAGAATAAAAATCATGCAGGATTACTTTAAGTGCATTTTCACAAAATTAATTTAATCAAACAAATTAAATTCTGGCTGTATTGCTTTGTTCCTTTTATTCTCTCTTTGACTATATGACAAACAATTATGCCTCTGAAAAAAATTATTCAGCATCAAATAATATCCTAATTAAAACTTTCATTGAAAATATCAGGATGTGAATTTGCAAACATTGATGATTTCTTATCATTTTTGTTAGCAGAATACATGGTTTTAAATCCTGTCTCTACTACTTCCTGTGTGAACTTAGTCTCAGTTTCTTCATTGGTCAAATTTAGATAAAAATTGTGGTTGTTCCTCTGGAAAACAGTATGGATGTTCCTCAAACAGTTGAAACTAGAGCTACCATACGATCCAGCAATTGCACTACTGGGTATTTACCACAAAGATACAAATGTAGGGATCCGAAGGGGTACGTGCACCCCAATGTTTATAGCAGCAATGTCCACAATAGCCAAACTGTGGAAAGAGCCAAGATGTCCATCGACAGATGAATGGATAAAGAAGATGTGGTATATATACACAATGGAATATTATGCAGCCATCAAAAGGAATGAGATCTTGCCATTTGCAACGACGTGGATGGAACTGGAGGGTGTTATGCTGAGTGAAATAAGTCAGTCAGAGAAAGACATGTATCATATGACCTCACTGATATGAGGAATTCTTAATCTCAGGAAACAAACTGAGTGTTGCTGGAGTGGTGGGGGGTGGGAGGGATGGGGTAGCTGGGTGATAGACAGTGGGTAGGGTATGTGCTATGGTGAGCACTGTGAATTGTGCAAGACTGTTGAATCATAGATCTGTACTTCTGAAACAAATAATGCAACATATGTTAAGAAAAAAGAAAAAGAAGAAGATAGCAGGAGGGGAAGAATAAAGGGGAGTAAGTCAGAGGGGGAGACGAACCATGAGAGACGATGGACTCTGAAAAACAAACTGAGGGTTCTAGAGGGGAGGAGGGTGGGGGGATGGGTTAGCCTGGTGACGGGTATTAAAGAGGGCACATTCTGCGTGGGGCACTGGGTGTTATGCACAAACAATGAATCATGGAACACTGCATCAAAAACTAATGATGTAATGTATGGTGATTAACATAACAATAAAAAAAATTTTAAAAAATTGTGGTTGTTAATAATGAATGTGAAATTCTGAGAACACTACCTGATTACCTGGTAGGTGCTGTTAGCTTTGTTTATCTCACTGATTTCTTCCCTTTAAAATATTTAAGAGTAGTTACAGGCTGACAAAACATTAACAGCTAATATAAGTTTCATAGTTCATTAAGATTGGAATATATTCATATAATGAAAATTACAAATATATTCCAATTTATTTTATACTTTAATCTCCGTCTGCCCATTCAAAACCCCTGAAAAAATGGGTCAGTGGGAACTCTTATAAGCCTCAAATAAAAGGGGCTATCATTCCCCACATGTGATTCTTCAAAGACTGTAATAATCCTTTTTTTATTGTTATGTATATCTTAATAATTGTTCCTTCTCTTTCATTTTATTATTTTTAAAACATTTATTACATTTGCTAGGTTGTGTTTTTTCTTTTTTAGACTTTCCTGTCTAAATATAGCTCTAAATTTCAAAGGCCAAATGAGCCCTCTTAACATTCCTAAAGATAAAAATAATAATAACAGACACATAAATTTAGAAAGTTAAAAGTACAGAAGGCATTTTGGTAAGCAGGATAATGTCCCCCTTCCCACCTCCACAGTGTCCATGTCCTAATCTGCTGAGGTTGTGAATGTTACTTTACATGGCAAAACAGACTTTGCACATGTCATTACTAGAAGGAGCTTGAGAAGGGGAGATTATCCTGGATGATGCAGTGGGCCCAGGGTAACCACAAAAGTCACTGAAAGTGGAAGAGAAGGGCAGTTGGGGTGATCAGAATGATGCGATGGGAGATTCTGCCTGCCTTTGTTGGCTTTCGAGATGGAGGAAAGGGCCGTGGGCCAAGGAATGTGGGCAGTCCCTAGCATCTGGAAGGTCAAGAAGATACTTACATCATCCTCTTTAGTTCCGCCCCAAAAGTTAGTGCCTCCCGCATAGCTGGGAATGTTCAACACTGCTATTCCTTGCAGACTGGGGAGAGGAATATACTGCCCATCACACTGTAAGGTAAAAAGCTTAGAGGTTAGACAAAAAGAGCAAAACTGCTAGTTGGGAAGCCACTCGAATACCCAAGACAAAGGATGATGGCGGGAAGTGTATTGGTAATGTTTGCTTCTCCTGTAAATATATTCCTACACGTTACCTTTCTCTTTTTTTTTTTAATTAAAAAAATTTAAAGCGTATATTCCTATGGCAGAAGTTGTAACAGAACACCGACTTAAAATAATGTTTTACCTCTTCTTTCTGTCAAAATCAGGCAGTACTTCTCTGGAGTTTTTTTTCAGATCACTTACGATATTCTCACTTGCATTATGGTCACCTTTGTGCTTATGTCCAGTGTTCTTTTGGAAGCAGGTTCAGTGAGGGCTTCTGGGTCCCAGCCACCTCATCTAGCACCTCTCTCAACTCCTGGTACCCTGCGCCTGCTCTGTAACCACCTGGTGGCTGGCCAGACTCAAAGCTGAGTTTCTCAAGTAGTCAGAACCAAAACCAAGGAAAGAAACACCATGCATGCCGGGAAGTATCTTAAACTCTGTGTCTTCTAATTAATCACTTAAATGAAAATTAAAATTACCACTTAAGTACGGAAAAATTTTCCTCTGGCTGGTGAGTAAATTATACATGACAGGTAAGCAAATTCTTACTGAATTGAAGGTTTAATCCTTCATTTTAAAAGAGGAGAGCTTGCAGATGTCATACTTACAATAGATGCTATAGTTTCATTAATTCTTACAATAAAAAGTAATTAACATAACTTTATAAAACTTGCATTTTAATGCCCGATCGAAATGATCTCCGAACTTCAGAACAAATGAAAATCCAGTTTCAATCCATTTTTCAACCATTTTAAATAACTAAGAATATCTTCTACTTGATTGTACTCCTTCATGCATTTTTTACATTTTCTTTTCTTTTTCCTAAAAATACATTCAAAGGTTTATACTCTATCCCAGCACCTAGGGCCATTCCTGGCACACAGCTAATGCTCAATGTGTATTTATTAAAGTGAACAAACATTAAGTATTTAGTAGAATAATAAACTTTTTCTGAATCCAATAAATTGAACAGGTATCTTTGTGTGCTTTAGAACAAGCTGTTTAAATCATATAACCAACTTAAAGGAAATGGAAGAAATGCCAGTAACAACCATCTTAATTTCATAGCGATGATAAATCAAACCAGCTGATCATGTGCTTATGCTCTAGAGGGGAAGGTATAATGAGTTTATCTTTACTAGGACATTTAGTTGATAAGGAATGAGCCAGGCACTTCCGTAGTCCGCATTCCAGTGTAAAGATAACACCTAAAAAAATAATGCTCCTGTTTAATTTAATGAGCTGTAGACAAGATTTGCACACTTTTCTGTACCTAGGCTATACCTTAACTAAAAATATCTGGTTATAAAAAGATACAAGATAGGAAAGACATGTGTATCAGCATCAACCGTGAATCCTGGACCAACAGTGAAAGAAAATAAAATTCACAGAAGTTAATAGACTTTTCAGAGCCATGTCCCCAATCTTCTTTTCCCTGTTAGTGAAGGAGAGTAAATAACTTTTGCTGTCCTTAATTTCCTCTTTAAATTAGTAAAACATACTAAAAAATTTAAATGCTCAAAATCTCTTTTTATTTTACTATTGTTAGAATTGGAACAAATACACATTTAAATTAAAAGAGTCTTTATACTACGAATGTTTTTTCAGGGATTTGTGAAATGTCAGGCATTATAGAATTGGGCCAGAATTTGTAAACTTAAATGAAAAAATCTGTGGGAATTCGTTAGAAATGCTCTCCTATAGGGGCGCCTGGGTGGCTCAGTTGTTAAGCATCTGCCTTCAGCTCAGGTCATGATCCCGGGGTCCTGGGATCGAGACCCATATCAGGCTCCCTGCTCCACAGGAAGCCTGCTTCTCCCTCTCCCACTCCCCCTGCTTGTGTTCCCTCTCACACTCTCTCTCTCTCTGTCAATTAAATAAATAAAAACTTAAAAAAAAAAAAAAGAAATGCTCCCCTATAAATGTCCTCATCACAGCCCCACCTTCTCACGGAGCACCATGACTCCACAGAACCACCCACATTTCAGGAGCTAATAATAATGATAATTAAGTGTGTCATTCATATCCAGTGTCTATACCTCCTTTAGTATGAAGTTGATAATCACCTCCATTGAGTGTTTAAACACTTGAAGAGGCATGTAGGCCAAATTAGCTCTGCAAATATAATTATTTTTCTAAGTAAGATAATCTGAACTATCTTTACTTCAAGATAAACTTACCTCAAGTTGAACCCTCTGTTCTAAATTCTTATACGATCTCTGTAATAACTCCCGGGTTCCAAGGACTCCATACCACATCAAGTTTTTAGTTCGGCTCCTGAAATAAATATTGGCAGACAATTTAATAGCTATTATTGATTTACTCTTTAAAGGCAGAGCGAGCAAAAGAGCTAATAAATGAAATTAAAGTGAAATTACCTTCATGTAATAACATTATTACTATTACCAAAATTACCTGCATTTTTCAGGGTGCTCCTCTCTCTTGTTATTAAATTCTAATGAAATTTTTGCATCTAATCCAATCCCAAAGTAATTGTTCATGACACATTTTTCTGAATATCCATCTCTGTGATAATAAGGAAACGTACATAAAAGTCAACTTCAGATTCATAACAATTATAATTTGCACACAAAATAGCACTTAAAAGCATTTAAGCTTCCATGCCTTATAGATGAGAGTAAAACTTAGCAGGAATTATCTCCTAGTCATAGGCCATGTGCACAAGCCCAGAACATATATGTCATTTTTGGTACATATGATATAAAGGGATAGTGAACAAGGCAAAGCAGAGACAGAGTCATGGTAATGCTTTTCTATTAATTGTAATAAAACCTTAGTTCTGCTTCCTGTGTAAGACCCTCACCAAACACACAAATGGGAGGGCCTTGCAGTCAGGTGCCAATGCTCTTTTTTTGATCACTAGAAATTTTTCTCCACTTGTACTCTTATCAATGGACAAATATTTACTGAGCAGTAAAATGACTAGGTCCAGTCCATCTTCTGGGTGCTTTGGAAAGTACAAAGAAGTTTAAAATATGGTACTGTCTTTGAGGAGTGTCATTAGAGAAATGAGGTATAACAAAAGCAAAATTTAATACAGAAGTAAAAGCTCATATTGAACTGCCAAAAAAAACCCTGTAGTTTTAAGAAGGGAAGAGATCAATGTGGGCCAGAAGCTTCTTGAAATAAATCAACCTAGAAGCTGGATGGGGAAAGATGAGAGATTTGGCAACACTGAGAAGAAAGGAGGAAAAAGGAATAGCAAAAAAAATGGTTATGAAGGTGCCGATGAATACAATATTCTAGGGGAAAGTGAATATAGCTGTGCCTCATTTTGCCATAGGGTTGTGATCCTACACATGGGTCCTGTCCAGCCCATGAGACAATCGGCCGGACAGGACCTACCTCAGGAAGAGATCATGAAAACCACTGTGTTTCAAATGCATCAATGTACTCATCATTATCAACTTTTGGAATTTTCTAATGAGCCTCTTTGTATGGGGAGCCAAATTTCTTGTAATGCATTGACAATGTTACCATCAGTATAAAGCAGAAACAAGAAAAGCCAAAACAAGATATTTACAAAAATATTTTCTTACACTGAATCTGGATCTGGGTCAATAAATGGCGTTGCACCAAAAGGATCAATATTTGCTAGTAACATTTTGTTGATTATAGAACTCCCAGCAATTGAGGCAGCTAATCCTGCTCTTAAACCTGGCCAGAAAAATAAAGACATACAGGATCACATGTTAAGTAAAAAGACAGAGAAAGAGCCAGTGCATTGTTTTCAGGCCTAATCTCAGACACCTTGCCCCCAAAGCATGGTTTTCAGTGTCTGCTCTTGTCATTAGTCAAAACTAAGAACTATGACATTGGTAATTACAAGATTTTTGAGGCTTCTTAGGATCTACACGTTGTCATAAAAATGCAGCAGATGAAGACCCAAATAAGAGTTTCTTTGTGACAGTTCCTCACTTACCATTCTAGTGACTCTATAACTTCAACAAATAAATATTACTTCCTTTGTTACAGTAAATAAGATGGTAGTCTATAAGGAATTTACAATAAAGGCTGAATTACCAAGAATGTCACAGAGTTACCACTTCCATATTCTCAAAGCATAGATAATAATATTCAATTAAAAATATTAACAGAGGGGCGCCTGGGTGGCTCAGTCGGTTAAGCATCTGCCTTCGGCTCAGGTCATGACCCCAGGGTCCTGGGATTGAGCCCTGCATTGGGGTCCCCGCTCAGCAGGGAGGGGAGTCTATTTGTTCTTCTCCCTCTCTCTCTCTGCCCCTCCCCTGCTCATGCTCTCTCTGTCTCTCTTTCCAATAAGTAAATAAAATCTTTGGGAAAAAAATTAATGGACATACACAAAACTCAGTGTTGGTGTCAAGAGTACAAAAATATTAAACACAGGTATTTATGAATTTAAGAAAAATACAGCATTTATCTTACCTCCAAATATGTAAAACTTCAAGTTTACTTCAACAACTAGTTAGTTTTCTACAAGGTAGTTACGATGTTCAAAGCTAATTAATTTTATGATCTACATAACTAATTGTTGATGCTAGAAGCATGAAACTCTGAAAAGAAGACAAAGTAATAGGGGCCTAAGAGAACAAACATAAAGGAAAGAAGAGGGAGGAAAAATATGTCATGGAATACAGAAACACTGGGGTATTAGAAGAAAAAGTCCTTCAGCAAACATTCTTTTCCTCTGCTGTGTGCTCGTCTTAGAAGATTATTATTCCTTATTTTAGCTACAAAGTTGAACTGATTATCAAATAATCAAGATGAATTTTATTCTGTCATTTAATTTCATAGTTTTGAACGGGCTATAGCATACTTAGCTATGCCAGTTTCTTTTATCTCTAAATAAGTGAATAAATGAACAAAACAACCATTCTGGTGAGGAAAATAAGAACAGTTTGGAGATGTGAAGAGTCAAACTCCAGCTGCCCCAAAGAAAAGTATATTTTCTTTTTTTTAAAAAAAAGCTTTTATTTTTCATTTATTTTAGGAGAGAGAGCAAAAACAAGCACTGGGGGGTGGGGCAGAGGGAGAGAGACTTTCCGCACTAAGCGTGGAGCTGAAACCAGGAGTGGGAGACCTAACTCACTGTGTTGCCCAGGCGCCCCTAATAGTATAGTATTTTAAGGTTAGCCATATTCACAGCTTTAGCCCAGAAAGGTCATCCCACGGTTCCAGGTTTAAATAGAGATATAACCTCTAGACAAGGAGGCCTTTCCAGAATCAAACATGTTCTGCATTTTTTTTTATTTTAATGTTTCATTGAGATATAATTCACATACCATAAAATTCACCTTTTAAGTAAGTGTATAATTCAGCCGTTTGTATTATATACACCAAGTTGTGTAATGATCAGTACCACCTAATTTAGAATATATTTTTTAAAGATTTATTTATTTATTTGAGAGAGAGAGAGAGAGCACGCATGTGAACAAGCAGGGGGAGGGGCAGAGGGAGAAGGAAAAGCAGACTACCCACTGAGCAGGGAGCCCGATGCAGGGCTTGATCTCAGGACCCTGGGATCATGACCTGAGCCAAAGGCAGACGCTTAACCGACTGAGCCACCCAGGCATCCCTAGAACATTTTTTTTATTACCCTCAAAGAAACCCCATACCTGTTGGTAGTCATTTTCCTTTCCCTCCACTCCCCACATCCCCAGACCCTGGAAACCACTAACCTACTTTCTTTCCCTGTGGATTTGACTATTCTGGACATATTGTACAAATGTAATCACATAATGTGTGGCTTTTTGCGTCAAGCTTCTTTCACTTGGCATAACATGTTAGGAGGTAAGCATGTTGTGGCATTTACCAGTGCTTTGTTCTTTTCAAAGGCTGAATAGTAGTCCACTGTATGGATACTGCACATTTTGTTTCTCCATCAACTGATGATTACTTGAGTTGTTTCTTCTATTTGGCTATTATGAATAATGTTGCTCTAAAACAATCATGTGCAAGGTTTTGTGTAGACATATATTTTTAATTCTCATGGGTCTATAACTAGGAGTTGTTTTCTGGGTTATATGTTAACTCTGTGTTTAATTCTTTGAGGAACTGCCAAACTGTTTTTCCAAATGGCTGTACCATTTCATATTCTAACCAGCAATGTACGGAAGTTCCAATTTTTCCATGTCCTTGCCAATATTTGTTATTATCTGTCCTTTTTGATCATAGCCATCCCAGTAAGGTAAAGTGGTATCTCATTGTGGTTTTGATTTGCATTACCCTGATGACTAATAATAGTGAGCATCTTTTCATGTGCATATTGGCCATTTGTGTATCTCTTTGGAAGTGTCTACTCAGATCCTTCGCCTATTTTTAAATTGAGGTATTTGTCTTTTCATTGTTGAATTTTAAGAGTTCTTTATATATTCTAAATACTAGTCCCTTATCAGGTATGCCATTTACAACTATTTTCTCCTGTCCTATGGATTGTCTCCTTCCTTCCTTCCCTCTTTCTTTCCTTCCTTCCATCCATTCATTTGTTCTTTTTGATTTATGAGAGAAAATAGTTTTTGTTTTTTGTTTTGTTTTGTTTTGTTTTGTTTTTAGACAGAGAGAGCATGCAGTGGGGAGGGGCAGAGGGAGAGGGAGCGAAGAGAGAATCCATGTTGGGCGTGGAGCCCGATGCAGGGCTCAATCTCACAACACTGAGATCATGACCTAAGCTAAAATCGAGAGTTGGACACTTAACCGATTGAGCCACCCAGGCACCCCGAGAGAATAAAGTCTTATGGGAAGCCACAACAACCCAGAATTTGCAAAAACTAAAAGTAAACATACCATTTTGATGATGGCAGGTCATCAGTTGATCAGACCAAACCCCTCCTCACTATGAGGGCAAATAGAAAAGCTGAGCAAAATGTAAAATGAATTCATTTGAAGATCCTAAAGAGGTAGATCAATGATGAGGGCTTACCAGCTAACCATTAGAAAAGGAAAATGACTTAGTCAGGTGAGCCCAGGACTTAGGCATAGATTTTTTTTGTTTTATTTTGTTTTTGGTTTTGTTTTGTTTTTACTTTTTATTTTATTGTGAACACTTAACATGAGATCTATCCTTTTAACAAATTTTTAAGTGTACAAGGCAGTATTGTTAACTATAGGTACAATGTTGTACACAGCAGATCTCTAGAACTTATTCACCTTCCTTAACTGAAACTTTATGCATGCTGGCCTGTTCTTTGTAGGAAGTTTTGTTATAGGTCTAGTTGGATTTTCTATTCTTTTTTTTTTTTTTAAGATTATTTATTTATTTGACAAAGAGACAGAGAGAGAGAGCACAAGCAGGGGGAGTGGGAGAGGGAGAAACAGGCTCCCCGCTGAGCAGGGAGCCCGATGCGGGGCTCGATCCCAGGACCCTGGGATCATGATGTGAGCCAAAGGCAGCTGCCCAACCAACTGAGCCACCCAGGCGCCCTGGATTTTCTATTCTTGAATCAGTTTTGGTAGTTTACACGTCTCCAGGAGTTGGTCCATCTCATCGACGTTATCTAATTTGCTGGCACATAATATTTGATAGTTTTCCCTTATAATCCTTTCTATTTCTGTAAGGTTGTTAGTGATGTCTCTCCTCTATCATTCCTGATTTCAGTAATTCAAATCTTCTCTTTTTATTTCCTTGGTCTCTCTAGCAAAGGCTTATCAATTTGTTAAGCTGATCACAGAATCAACTTTTGGTTTCATTGATTTTCTGTATTGATTTCTATTCTCTATGTCATTTATTTCCACACCAAACTGTATTATTTCTTTCCTGCTCATTGCTTTGGGTATGTTTGTTCTTCCTTTTCCAGTTTATTAAGGTGGAGAATTAGATTTTGAGATCTTTCTACCTTTCTAATATAGGCATTTACAGCTATAAATTTCACTCTAAGCACTTCTTTAGCTGTATCAAGTAAGTTCTGCTGTGGTGTATTTTTGTTTTCCTTTATAGCAAAGTATTTAAAAATTTTTCTTGTGATTTTTTTTTTCTTTGACCCACATGGAAATTTGTACATTTCCAAAATTTCCTTCTGTTATGGATTTCTAAATTCATTCCACTGTGGTAAAAAATCGTCCTTTGTATAATTTCAATCCTTTTAAATTTACTGAGAATTGTTTGATGGCCTAATATATGATCTATCCTGGAAAACGTTCCATGTGCATTAGACAAGAATGTATATTCTGCTGTTATTAGGTGGAGTGTTCTGTAGGACACCTGTTAGGTCTGCTTGTTTTATATGTTTTTCAAATCTTCTATTTCCTTGTTGATTTTTGTTTAGTTGTTCTATCCACTATCGAAAGTGCGATAATAAAATCTCCAAATATTATTATTGAATTGTGATTCACCTTGTAGGACAGACTGATTTTCAGGGTGTAATTTGGGATCCAATCGACTCTGGAATAAATCTGGAGCATTTTCACTAAGTCAAACAACTGGTACTTAAGGAGACATCAGAGGCATCTGTATTTTCCTCCTCCCCAGCTGCACACGTTCTTTGCTTTCCACTAGTACTAACCCAATCCCAAGGTCAATTCATCTCATCAGAGCTGGAATAGCAGTCTCAGATGTTCTGAAAGGAAGCAATGCTACTAGTCTAAAAATGACAGAGAGACTTGTGGCTTACAACAAAGAGGAAAGCTGTGGAGATACCTAAGAGGTAGTGGAATATAGGATCAGATTTACCCTGGGTGCTTAATAAATGCAGATTCCTGGGCTGCATTCTAGTATAACTCAATTAAAATTTCTCAGGGCAGGGCCCCAAAACATGTATTTTAGTACTTCATAGACAATTCTTACACACACACACAAGTCTAAGATCTGGAGTCTGGTTGATAAGAGTGACAAGAACATTCTCCTCAAGGGACATTCGTCTCTAAGAACACATTTCTGTAGTGCATGGAAATGAGTACTTAATACATTTTCACAGAAATACTTAAAAATACGCCATGTTTCAGAATCTATACTACCTGGGCAGATTATTCTGGTGTTGAGCACAGGGAGGTTTTCTTTGCTGGCTGCCACAGCTGGACCAGAGCCAGAGTCAGTTTGGGAACGACTTGCCCGGCCATCTGGAGACCGAGGTGCAGGTGCAGTTTTAACTGTTGGCAAAAGGTCCCGATTATAAAAAAAAAAAAAAGGTAATAATAAAGTTATAAGAATAAGAAAGCCCTGATAAATGCAGGACATAAAATAATTTAGTGCACGTTTAAATCAATTAGCAGAATTGAAAATATTACATTGTGTTTACCTATTCTTCTACCATTGTTTTCACTTCTTTGAGATTCGGCCACAGGTAGATGTCCTGATAGCTCATTTCAAACAGATGGAGATTAGTAGAAAATACAGGCCTACCATAATTAAAGGTCAGTAATACTCATAATTTGAATGTGGCCAACCCATATTTAAAGATAAAAAGAAATTTTGAAGACTGATGATTTTTGAAAATGCTACATATGTGTTATAATGTATACTATCAGTGTAATCCTTTTGTCATAAACGTTGGGTGAATAATCAAATTTAATTAATGTAATCCCAGAGCTAAGATGTGAAACATGAGTTAACATTGTCTTCCATACAGGAAAGGAAAAATGGTATTTTTTTCCAAATGAAACCAATATATGTTTTCCTGCACTCAACTAACTATATATTCAAAACAAAATTTTGCCCAAAACAGGTCTATCATATTCTTTCAAATGTTCAATACATTTAAAAAATTATTCCAAAACAGAATTACTCTTAAAGTCAACAAAAAAAGAGATTTAATTCTGTCTAAACTAGGGCAATTTAATGGAGAACAAATAGTATCTTTAACTAATTTAGGAGCTATTGGCAGGTGTTTAAAAAAAACAGTATTCCTCAAACTCAATTTAAAAATAGTCAAAAATTTAATTATCTTTACTCTCCCTAAGACTAATTACAAACTAACCATATCAATCTTACACTCTCTTCTCTTTCTTCAAAAACAGTCCAGTTGCACTAAAGAAAAGTAGCAGACAGACACTTTTTTTTGGACAGATGCAAGACCTGGAGCTAATTTCTAATAAAAACAACCTTTTGATATTCGTCTCTGATAAAAACCAGAGAGCATCTTAGTGACTAAGATTGATGTAACATTGCAGGTAACTAAATTAATGTTTCATGGTTCTTCTTAAACATAACATCTCATTGATCATATTAATATACTGTATTGTACATCTCAGGCATATGAATCATTGCATAATTTAATAATACAATGAATGCTCTTCAAAAAGTAATGATTATTTAATACAGAAATACTTCCATTACTACTGATTCCCACTAAATTGGATTACTAGTTAGAAAATAAGATCAAATATTGCAACATTAAGGTATCCAATGTTGCAATATGTGTAAGTTTATGTCTATTTCAATAGCAATATTTATAGCTGCCTAACTTTATTTTTTAGTTTTCTTTGCAGACTACAATGGAAGTGTTCAGTTCATGAGAATATAGTAAGATGGGATGGTAGCCGGTTGGAAAATCATTAGCAATGAGCGCTGGAAAGCCAATCCTCCAAAGAAACCATGCCTTATCTTAAGGGAAATGATCAAGCAGCATACTTTAAGAATGCCATTGTCAGCTCTGCTTAAGTCAGCTTTATTAATGGATGAAGACATACAAGTCCTCCTTATTAAACTCTAGATGAAGTAAGTTTGAGATGATACAATCAAGCTTCAAAAGATTTTGACAGGGTGTGTGTGTGTGTGTGGTGAGAGACAGGAGGGAGGCCGTGCTCTGGGTGGAGGCTTTGGCTGCCTAAACTTTCAGGGTCACTGAGCAGGCAGAATTGAAGTTAGAGCTGCAGCAGGACTTCCCAACGGTGACTTCTCATCAAAATGGGGAAGAAAAGAAGGAAGGTCAATTAGGTTGGGAGAAGGAAACCCAAAAAGTCTATGGCCTGAAATCTGGGCCCTGAGTGTCTGGCACTCAGTCGTGGTTGCATGAATGGTGCCTATGAGTGTTGTCAACGTGTGGAGGAGGGCACATTAGAGGCCGGGAGAGCAGTGTGCGCAGCAGTCCAAGCAAGAGGGATCTATTCTTACATCTGGAAATCTGAAATGTTTGTCTTTTGCTGGGAAGGGTGCAGATTTGGGCATGGATACGAAATGGGACAGAGCATTGGAAAAGCTGAAGGCTCCACACCCAATGTGGGGCTCAAACTCATGACCCCGAGATCAAGAGTCTCATGCTCTACTGACTGAGCCAGCCAGATGCCCTGAGAAGAAATATTTGAAATTGTAAAGTTCTGGAGAATCTAGGATACAAGGTCACCATAGACCGATAAGGAAATATGATAATAATCATACAAAGAATCAAAACTAATCAGCCTGACCAAAAGTCACTGTGTTCTTTCCCTGGTCTTTTCGCCTAGTCAGAAGGCATAGTCTCCGCTTTCTCAAGCTGACCTGGCAAGAGCAAGAGAGGGAACACAAGCAGAGGGAGCGGGAGAGGGAGAAGCAGGCTTCCCCGATGCGGGGCTCGATCCCAGGACCCTGGGATCATGACCTGAGCCGAAGACAGACGCTTAACGACTGAGTCACCCAGGCGCCCCGTAAAAACATTTTTTTAAATAAAATAAATTAAATTAAAAAAAAAAAAGATTTTGACAGGATGCAATGATAGATCCAAATCGAAAAGATAAAAGTTCATAGGGATGAGCATGTACTGCTCTAATTAGGTTCTAATTAGGTTTAAAAAAAAATCACTGGCACAAAAATAGGAGGAGACCAGGTTTATAGAGTATTACAATATAATACTTCATGCCAAGAAAAAATCTTGGGTAGTCCTTAGAACATAAAAAAATGTCCAGAATGAGTAGTGTATGGCTATCAGTGTGATATTATACTACAGAAATATCAGGGGGATTGTGTTCAAAATGGGGCATCATATTGACCAATTGAATGCAACCAGAAAAACTAAAAAGTTTGAAATCGAGTTAAAAATTGGTAAAATAATTGAGGAGATAATGTGGAAAAGAAGATATGAGGTGTGGGAAGAGGCCATGAGGCCATGAAAGCTGTTTTCAGTATCATTTAAGGGCCGCTACATGGCGGAGTTATCTTCAATACTGTGAAGAAATATATATGAACTTCCTTTTAAGCGACCCATAAAGCACCACACCAAAAGTCGGCAGTTGTTCCTGTTACCATTATCGTACATAAAACTTTATTAATTAGTGTGCCCATGGGTATAAATTTAAGGAAGAAAATATAAAGCTGAATATAAAGAAAAACTTTCTAACAATTAGAAGCTGATCTTAAGAATGGGATGTATTGAAAGTGAGTGGTGGGGCGCCTGGCTGGCTCAGTATGCAGAGCTTGCGACTCTTGGTCCTGGGTTCGTGAGTTCAAGCTCCACGTTGGATGTAGAGATTACTTAAAAACATAAAATAAAATATCTAAAACGAACCGAAAAAAGAAAGTGAGTGGTCCAAAGGCTCAATGGCCATCTGTCAAGAGGGTTCCAAAGTATGCCTGTATTGGATTATATGCTGCAACAGGGATCTTTAAGGTCTATAGGGCGTAAGGTTGTAGAGTTGAGTTGTGTGCTGGAATACGTACATTTCAAATCTAAAAGGGCTACGGGTGTAGAATACGTACGCATTGGTTGTATGTCAGACATGCGAAGCCTATAAGGTCTACTTTCAAAGTTTCTGAGAGTTTTACATTCAAGTAAGGAGCATTCCTTCGAAGCTGATGTAATTAGCAGCCAAAGCAGTGGAAGGAGTAGCACTGGTAATAGAATGACAGAATTTTCTAGGCACTCCCCATATATCAACGTCTCCAACCCTCACAGCTAGCAGGCACATCATTATCCCCATGTTACAAATGAGGAAACCGCCAAGAAATTAAGCAATGTGCCCAAGTGTATATGTCATGAAAGTAAAGCAGAAACTTAACGATTGCAGTTCTGAGTTAATAGTGTTGACTTTTCATTAGTACCATGCAATTATTTTCATATTCTCTTCTCAGACTCATTAATACTTTAATTTCTGCTTTGCTTTATTCTAGTAAATGAATAATTATTCCCTTATACAATCTGAAATATTAAAAGTATAAATTCATCTTCAAACTTAAAAAGTAGAGGAATAATTACTTTTCTTCAAGTGATTACATATTAATTTCCTGGCAAATATGATTTCAGTAGAGATAGGGGTGTAACTAGATGTCCAGTGATTTTGAAGATTAATTTAGCAATAAGAATTAGCAAACCGTCCAGGCTGATCAATGGAATTCAGGGGACTGCTCAATTATTTAAATGGCAAGATTTGTGCATATGTGACATGCAGATTTCACATAATTCTCAAAGGCATCTGTGGGCTAAAGACAGGTTAAAATCTGCTGATTTAGGTGTTTCTTCCCCTTTTCCTCAGGAAAATTAAGACATTTAGCCATGTTTGGTTCCATAATCCTTAGTTTATTATGATAATCTCCAGACTATATGACAAAAAGGGATGTGGGAGTACTTGACAATCATCTAAATGTTACCTTTATTATTTTAGTATTCATAAATATCTAATCTTTAACTTCTGAAAAGCCTTGTTAAAAATAAAAATACAAAGTTTATTTCAAACTGATAAGCCTTTTGAAAACTAAAAGCAGAATTGTATTCTATTTAATTCCAAAATAATTAGTTTTCTTACCAGTTAATGACTCTTTTGCATCATCGTCTTTAGATTCTTCTTTAGATTCATCTGTTTCTGTACTATCATTATCGAATGACTGGTTAACTGGTTCACAGGGATGAACACTCTGGTCATCCATAACTTTAAGTAGTTAGTAGAGAAATATGTTTGGACAAGTAAAAATAAAATCCATAAATATTAATACATGTTTAAAAAGAAAAATGAAACATAAAGCAAAAGAAATTCCATATTCACAAATAAATAGTAACTGGTAATAAGTTTGGGGGTAATATCTATAAGTACTAGAGATTATAAAACTAAATATTTAAAATTGTAAAAATCATATTTTTATTAGAAGAAAAAATAAGAGAATTCGAGAATGAAATACAAGTCCAACTACAAGTTACAACCTATAAGGTGTTTTCGAATATTGATTTTTTATGTTAAAGTTAACTTTAGTCCACTCCTAAAATTTTAAGAGAAGTATATACATTATATTCATACAAAAAATTAAAATACAGGCAGAACCTTTATAGACTCTTTAAAAAGCAACATAAACATTTAGGACATGAATTTAAGGAAGTATTTTCAAAGTAGTTTACAGGTTTGATTTTCTTTAAGAATTCAACAGATTCCAATTAGGTAAAAGATATTTAAAATTTAGAATTGTAACTTAAAGTAATTTTCAATGTTTCCAGTGTATTTTTATCTTTGAGATGTATCACTAATATGCTGATCCTCACGTTAATATCATAACCAGATCCTACTAAAACAACAAATAAGACTTAGTACAAATTTCATTCTAAAGGCCTTATTTCTGTCCTGCCTGAAAATTTTTTTTGTGTGTACAGTCTGACCAATATTAAAATGCCACTGTGCTTACAAGATAGGACTGCAGCTAACTTCTTCAAAAGCTAACTTTGTTTATGTGTACCTTTGCCGGCTTCTTCAATGACTTGTCTCACTGCTTTCTTTAAACTGTTTGCCCGCAACATTATTTCCTTTGGTTTGACAGCTTTCTGGGAGGGAGGTTTTGCGGGGTTATCCACGAGCTGTTCTTTGCTTTCACACAAGGATTCTTCACTGGAAGATTCCACGGTATCTTCTTCTACAATGAGAGAGTGGATGCCTGGGAGAACGGGGGCAGCCTGGGAATCCGTGTGCAGAGCTTGAAGCAGTTGTTCAAGCTTTTCATTTAGGACTGAACACTAAGAAAACAAAAATACAGCAATGAATCTCTGTTGGGTGGAAATGGAAAAGGACAATTTGAGTGAATCACTTCTGATTTTGGAGGAAAGATGCCTATATTAATATTTACCAATTAATTGGCTATCCATTGTAAATTATACTTTAGACAGCTTATAGACTAAATAATTTATCATTTTTGTGAAAGACCACAATTATGTAAATTTTTATGTGTCCTTCCAGAATACTCCAACTCTACCATCTTTATATAATTATTTTTCCTTAAAAGAAAATCTCTGTCATCTTTACATAGGTATTTTTCCTTAAAAGAAAAGAACAAACACTTCACTTCAAAGTGATACGTTCCACAAAAAACTTATGCAAAACTTATACAAAATATTGTGTAAGCTTTTTTTTTCTAAAGTAATCGATGTATGGTACCGTTTTGAGCATCATAAACTGAAGGTCTGGGTGAGTCTTGGTAAGCTCTCCTTCAAAGCTTTGTTTGTGAAAGGGGTGAACGGTGTCTACAGGATTACTGGCTCAAAAAAAGAGCAAAAAGGAAAATGCACAAGGATAAAGAAGAAAAAGAAGATGCAGAAAGAAAAACATGCACTCTGCCCTTGTTTCTGTCTGCTTCTCTCGAATGACTAAGGGTAAAGAAACATGGAGGGCTGAAGCTATTGCTAAGACTGCCCTAATACATCTTTTATCAACAAAGATTCCCGTCCTTCCCTCCTCCATTTATTTGTCCTTTATGTCATGCTAAGACGAGACTATAGCAGAAATAGTTAAGAGAAAAAAATATGGCTAGAGGTCTTCTGTCTTCTGAAGCGCTCCACAGAAGAGAAAAATAAGAAAAAAGAGGCTGAAAACATCAAATGTCTGTTTATTTCTATTTCCTTTTCCTTTCACTCAATTAAACCACCATCTACAGCATAAATCTGGAGATCATTCCTTTGCAAGCCCAAGAAAGCCAAACCTTTTGTAGGAATGCCCTGTCATGAACAAATGAAAGCAAAGAGAATAGCTTTTAAGGTTCTTACTTTAGCCTCAGAAAGCTCATAAAGGGGAAAAAAATCTATAAAGAAAAAGGCAAAACAAGAAACAGAACCCTGAAAGGGGCCAAGGACCATAATGCCTGGGGAACCCAAAGGACCAGGAGAGGGGGGAGCCTGATGACCAGTTTGCCTGGAAATGGAAAGCCATTCCTCTCCCCACTGGAACACCAGCCGCCCAGCATTTTCCCCCACGTGACCCTGCTGCTGAGCATTTCTCCTTGGAGATGTCAATCTGTGGGAAAAGGGAGTTGATATAAAATTCAGGTTGTTGAATGGTCTTCAGCAATGCAGTTTTCCTACATATTCCAGGGTAACTGTAAAATAGAATATATTTTAATCCCTTACATCTGATTCCAAAGTAGTTTTTCTCTTGATTTAAGATGTTTTGGCAAGAAAGTCACTTAATCAATTTAGCTGTGAAACAGTACAATGTTAAGGTTGTCAGTAAAAAACTTGCATGCCCTGAAGGTGACCCCCTTACTTTACTGGCCACGGCGTCGGCTGCAACGGCGTTTTCCAACGTTTTTTCATAGGCCTTCTCTACTTTGGCAACAAAGTCCTTTACAGTTTCACAGAGTATCCTTGGAGGAAAAGAAATTGTGCAATTCAGTAAACCCCGTAGACTGGGTTGGTTTGATTTACAAACATATTTAAAAACAGGCACAATTAGGTAAACTCTCAAAGCATAGGGACCATTTGTATATAAAACCCATACTTCTACATGCTGTGTAACACGTACTAGAAGTTCCAGACATTCTGAATTACAAATGGAAATGCACACGAATAAACTTTGCTCTGGGTGAATTAACTGATCGTCATTTTAAGGTCATAACAAGCCTTTCTCAAATATTTAAATTAAATTCTTGAGAAGAGTATTTGTAGATCTCATTAAAAAAAATAAGCTTTATGTTCAGTTAGCCAACATATAGTACATCATTAGCTTTTGATGTAGTGTTCAACAATTTATTAGTTGCGTATAACATCCAGTGCTCTGATAAAAAAAAATTAAAAATTTTTAAAAACCACACAAGATATCACCAAAAAAATAAGCATTATCTCCAGCACCTTACATATTTTCATAACAGAACTTGCAATGTTAAAAAAAAAAGGATAAATTTGTCACTTAATGTTGTCACTGTCATTCATGATCCAGGTATCCTGAAAGTATATTGTTCCTGAAGAGGAAAGGGATTGTATAAACAACCTGCCACTTGAATTGAGTTATATTCTCCGTAAATCCATTCGTTTTTTTCCTTAAGGTAACCAGTACAGTCATATGCAAGACTAACTTAATTTAGATCTTGTTAGTGTCAACAATATATGGTTTACTTGTTTGTTGCTTTTAATTACATTTGGTTTCTTTGCAATAGAAATAGATCAAAATAAAAAATAATCTGAAACCGTAACACTAACTAAAATCTGTCTTTCAAAAATCTTTGGGAGTGATGCCGGATTACAAACAACCCAACAGAATGGTATGTGACCAGTTTTTTGCAGCAAGGGCTAACAGTGATTCTGAAAACAAAATCAGACGATATTAAAATAATAGTATTTCTCTTTATTATGGATACAGACTGAGAAATTTGAAGGAAAAAAACCCGGGTTCCAGCAATTATTTTTTTCTATTAAACTCATAATTTTCTGTTATGTGAGTGACATAATGATTATATTTCCAGATATTTAAATATTATGACATCAAGCCATTCAATAGATATAGTACACACACACACACACACTCCAAACCTTCATATTTATCATCTAAAAAATGAATTATTCCTAAGAATTTTTGTTTGTTGTTTTTTGGTAACCATTTCTAGATTTTTACTTGGACAAAAAGTAATATTTCCTAACCTTCAACCTCTTTGTTGGCTTTTTAAATTCACATTTCTCCAGAGGCTCTAGCTTACTATTAGAGATGCATTCATGTGCTTTACCTCAAGTTTTGTCTTCTTTGTTCATGTATACTACTTTTATGGACCTTCTTGAAATATTAAGTCAAGCTGTCATGAAATTTTTTCTATGAACTTTACTGAAAGTTTCTCTAAGATGTCCCACCTCTGAGGAGAGGAGACACTGACTGTCCTCCCACTTTATATAACTCTAAAATAGAGGCTTTCCTTGCTATTATTACAACACTTTGTTGATAAAATTTTCTCCTGTGAAATTTATGAAACTGCATATGCCATAAAATTACCATAGCTACTTTTGCTGGTATTTTACTAAGTCCTAGGAACACAGCCTGTTTGTCCATCAGCCTAGGAATGAAAGGGGCAACAAAGGTGCCATGATGCTCAGGCAGATGGAGGCTGAAGGAATAGAGTATGATTCTGTGTTAAAGATTATTTGCCATGTAAGTTGTGGGAAGGATCAGAAGAAATGGTCTACCTTAGGATCCAATAAGTTTCATATTCCAGAAGACATAAAATATTACACTCTGGAGAAATGAACTAACTTTTTATTATACCAAAATAGTAAATGTAGAATTCTTAAAATTGAAATAAAATGTACACCTAAAAATAGCATGATTTCAAAGTCATACCACCTGGGAACTTGCAAATTGGAGAAAAACAATTTTAAGATGTATTTGCTATGATAACATGGAAAACATTCTCCAACTGATACAGTTTTCTATTTTAATGCATAAAGACATCTGGAAAAGACGTGCAAAAATCAAATAAATGAAAGTGGAATGTGGATTTTCCCACAGGGCTATAAAAATTTTTAATCCCTAATTATATCTTAAATCCATGTTAGTCATAATTTTGACAAGATATTTCCAAGCATTTTATTTCTTTAATTTTGTTCTCTTCCTTCCAAGTTGAGCACAAATATGCAGTTGATATTGCACCAAATATTCAGTTGAAGCTAACAAAAGTCCATATTTAGCAAGCTTGATGATTTCCACTATCACTGCAATTATATTGTATTCATGAGATCTATACTTTTTATCACTAGTAGCAGTATCTTCATTTATCATTCATTTATCTCCATTTTCCACGTATTTTTTAATAGGGGCAAACACTACACTAAGAAAAATATGGCGATGGTGCCCAAATGGATGCACATATTGGCAGGCAGGGGTCATCCTATAAGAATCTGAAAAATTCATTTTCCATCTGATGTAATAATGTTCCAATCAGAAATTAAAGATGATTTACAAGTATCAGTGTATAATCTATAAAAACCCTTAGTTATCTCTGTGCTCTGAGGAAACAGTCTAACAACTACGTATCTTACCTCACCTATTCAGTGGGGGCGGGGGTTGCCTAAATTATCTCTAAGATAGATACCAAATCTGAAATTCTGCGGTTCTATGACAATAGTTCCAATCTTATTTTTCCTGGCGGATGATCTCATTTTCTAAGTTCTGTCTACTGAAAAAATTGCATTTATTTAATATCTCTGCTTTGTATTTTTATTAATAAGTGACACCTATAATTGCTGACTAATGCTTCTGATTCTCAGAAGGTAACTCATGCTACCATACCAAACTGACAAAATTTCAAAATCAAAGAAATGCTGACATTATGTTGGTTTAACCCATAGTAACTACATTAGTTAACCTACATATTAGCTATGCTAATGGAATATAGCTTTTCCATCAGTATTTTCAGCATTTTAAAAATAGTTAAAACAGCTTAAGCTACTGGGAATTACTATTTTATAAAACAAATATAAACATGCACCAAGAGGGTTAAAACATTCTGCCTTAATAGTGTATCATTTAACAAGCAAATGGCATTATCAAAAGAAGGGAATTCTTTGTTATCTAGGTGGTGGTTACAAGAATATGTATGTGAACATGTGTATGTGTATTCTTCTTTCTCATCACTAAGTTGTACCCTTATGATTTGGGCACTTTATTGTGTATATATCATGCCTCAATAACAACAAAAAAATTTTTTTAAGCAGGGAGAGCTATTATAGACTTTACAAGTCTTTAAAATATATATAACCCAAATGCAGTATCTGAACCTTGTTTGGATTTTGATTTGAACAACTCAACTGTTAACAAAAACTTTGAGATAATTAGGGAAAATGGAACATGGATTGAGGAATATAGATAGTCTTAGAGAATTGTTACTAATTTTATTAGACTTTTTAATAAGATTACTAGGTATATACACTGAAAGAACAAAATGATTTCTGGGATTTGCTTAGAGATTCTACAGCAAAAGAAAGTGGGAGTGGATGACAAAATTTTGATAAATACTGAAACCATGTGATGGGTATGGTGGGAAACCATTATACCAGTCTCTCTACTTTTATGTATGTTTGAAAATGTTAATAACAAAAATTAAATTTAAAATAATACCATATTACTGGTACAAATTTACTACATTTTGTCCTTTCTTTTCTCTTGAACCTCTTTATGGCAAATCCCCCAAAATTTTAATCTGGGGTTATAAAGACAGGACAGCTGGGCAGACTGGGAGCACAGATGAGTGACAAGAGGGGACCAGGGGTGGAATAGAATCTGTTTCGAGGCAAATGAGCTCGTCAGAGAGAAATCCAAAGCTAAAGCTAATAGTAGAGCCTAGACAAAGAGCCAGGCAAAGGTTGGGGCACCTGGGTGGCTCAGTCGTTAGGCGTCTGCCTTCGGCTCAGGTCATGATCCCAGGGTCCTGGGATCGAGCCCCGCATCGGGCTCCC